CTCTGGAGTGTAAACGCTTCGCCTATGAGAAAAAGGAGCAGCGCATGAACCGAACGCAACACACGCGAACCGAACGGTTCGGACGGTTTTCATAAATCGTTCCATCCCTAATAATTACTAAATAGACTTCAATGTTGAAAACGTATGCTAAGTTATATTAGAATATTTATATGAATGCCAACAATAAAAAACATTATTAAAAACACTTGATAAAACAAAACATCATTTCATGAACAGGTTTTATTTTTGTAAATCTTGCCCTTCTGAGGCTTTGTGAAGGTAAATCTGTGTTTTGCATGGTCCAATATGGTGTCACAAACCTAAAAAACTAATGTACCAGTTTAAAAGTGGAGAAGCTTTTGCTCAACTTTATATTTTTTAATATATAAAAACTATTTTCTGAGAATGTGTTTATTTAAGAGCAACTATTCAAATTACCAAACACCTAGAAAAAGTAGACTATTGTATTATTTTCTATGTGAATTCCAGATTGTTCATTCTTCTTTGCTTTTTCTAAAAAGTGCTTTAAATCAGTCCTAGCTGTCTTTATCCACGCTAGGTCAGATCCTGACTTTAAAAAACGAGGCAGGGAAAGCAGAATAAAGCTTTAGCCTCGCTGCATGCAGCTAGCCTAGCCTTGTAGCTAAACCAGGTCCTGGAAAAGGACGTTAGTTGCACCATTTGTCTCTCTCTCTCTCTCGGGCTACTTTCACACTGCAGCCCTTGATGCTCAATTCCGATTTTTTTGTGAAATCCGATATTTTTTTGCGTTGCTGTTCACATTTCCAAATATATGCGACTTGAATATGATCTCCTGCGTGAACTGCAGTCATACAACGCAATTGTACCACATGCGCAGATACTGCTCTCCGCATCTTTGTCTGCCATGGTGTTTGTTTTTCTTGCCGCTTCTTCATAGCAAGACGCAGGATAGTGACCTTTGTCGGGTATTAATGGCGTTCAGGTCGGATGAATGCTACCAGGCCGTTCAGACACAGGTCGCATTTAAAACGATCAGATACATTTCAGATTAAGGGCCATATAGCCAAGTGGCCTCGGTGGAATTGGAAAAAATTGGATCTGTGTTGTTTAGATTGTCATGAAAAGATCAGATCCAGGTCGCATATGGGTA